ACAAACTGTAGTTGCAGCGTTCATTAAAACGGTTTTGTATGTACTCCAATCTGTACTGGCTTGCGATTGGTGGTCTAACTGTGTGGCGACAATCTGTTGAAATTTTTCTCGATGAATATTGCTTTTCAGCTTCCACGTTTTGATTCTCCGAGGCATTTGTTTAGACTTATATTTTGACAGTTCGACAACCAGGTCTGCCACAAGGAGTCTATGTTGGGCGACGCATGATTCGCCAGGTATAACTTTGACGTTTTTAAACAGCCTTCGGTGTGGTTGCTTGACAGCAAAGAAATCAATTTGCGTGGCTGATGGTCCACTTTTGTATATTATTAGATGTTACAATCTCTTTCTAAAATATGGGTTCAGTAAACAGAATGCAGCCCAGAAGTCATTTTTTATCTCTTCTGTTTCGCCTGTCTGTGGTGCGTATGCAGAAAAAATAATCATTGTTTGCTTTTCTATGCGAAGCTTGATCCACATGAGACGTGAGTTAATCCTTTTAATATCTAGTACTTCTTGGGCTAGCGATTCTCTGACAAAATTTCCAACACTATTTTTGGCCATCTCTTGACCATTCCAGAATAGTTTATATTTTTCTTTGTCTGAGTTGACATGACAGACACCATTCGATTTCCATCGAGTTTCCTGAAGTCAGCAGTCTAAGTACCATAGATGGGCCATTCTGAATTTTTCTGCAACATCACTCCGCTATTGCATACTTCTCAGAGATTCTTAGCACCCCTTGACCACTTAAGGCTTGCTGGGGACTAGGAGCCGTTGTTTTTATTTGTGATGGCATGGAATAATTTTGGAGAAAACTTTTACATCCAGACACCCATCCTGACGACAACCACCAGTTATAAGCGGTGAGTCTAGTCTTTTGCTCAAAAGCACGCAAGGCAGCATGAATGCAGTTTTATGTCATGCCCAGGAATCATGGGACAATCAAACAATCCATACAATAAGCGTGAAACCAACTAGCAAGCACGCCATCCAAAACAGAAATATGACCAACAAAAATTAGAAAACTAATTTAAATAATAAAAAAGGCAAATATTGTAAATTAAATATCAATAAAACATTGTTTCAACTGTTTTTAATTTATCAGTATGACACCAGACTATCACTTCCTAAATGCCAATCTTCTCTGTCACTCAAAAACAGAAGAAAAATTTTATCGGTTCAATTCTTCAATATCCACTGCAAACCACAAGCCACCAACTCATCCACCAGCAAAAGATAACCCTTCACATCTCCAGATCAACCAAGGACATGAATGACAAAATCATCAATTTTGAACATCAATTGTTCAAACATGTCGAAAAATAGAACAAATGGCTGAAACAAAAAAAAACGAAGTCGACAATTGAAACAAACAAAAAACAAAGTCAACAAACTGCAAAAATTAAACAAGCGGCACAAAAAGAACAGATGGCCAAAACAAAAAAATAAACATAAGCATTATTAGCAGATATGAAAGAACAAAATGAAAAGATCGCATTGAAAATAGCAGAAAAACTAAGCCAAAAACTTACTTGTTATTAATCTGGATCAAAAATTAACCGACTAAATATAAAAAATACAGTTAGAAATGAAAAAAAAAATCAATAAAACTTAGTGATCTTCAATGACGGTATTGAATTATGTTGATTGATTAGCTTAAAAATTGTATTTTATGTTATTTATATTACTATTTTATTTATTTTTTGGTTCAAATGTTAATGCCATTAGTAAATAGTTAATTCAATTTTTTTATAATAATTCGAATTAGAATATCATAATTTTAGTAACAGGAGCTTTCGCCCGAAATAAATTTTTTGCCCGAACGTGGACTTTTCACCCGATTACATTTTAGTCCAAAAGAAATTTAGGTATTGAATTATGTTGATTGATTAGCTTAAAAAAATGAATTTTTCAGGTGAATCACCCGATCATTGGAATATTCGCCCGATGACACTTTTGCCAGATAATTGAAAATAATACTTTGAGTTCATTTGAACACGGGGATGTTTTTTTATAATGATTTTCAGGTTGATTTTGTTGAAGGTTTATGTTCGGTTACAACTACACAGTCACACACGAAGTAAAGTTTTATAATAACCTGTCATTTAATAGTTTCAGCTTTTGGTGTGTTAATCGGCCATTATAGTTCAAAGAAATTAAAATAGTAACGTCACTTGAATGGGTTAGTGTAACAAACAGAATTGTTTCAGATTGAAGCCATTTTTGTAGTTTATGTATTTATGATATATTATAAAATTTAACATTTAACACATATATAAAATTTAACATATTGTTAAAGAAGAGGACACACACAAGAAAGAGGAGAAGAGATAAGAAAAAGACGTAAAAGTCGTAAATGTGATTTGCGTAGTTATTTGGATTAATTTATTGTTTCTATTACTGCTGGTATCAAATAAACGTTCAACTGAGTTTGCGTTTAAAGTAGTTGTGTTCATCTATCGGAAATCTTGAACCTACGGATAAACGAACTCTTGACTATCGTTGGAAGCTACAACACGGTGTTGGAGATTTAGCGAGTACTGAAGCAATAACATCGTTGTTGGTAGTTACGAGGTCGAAGGGGGTTACAACACTGGGATCTTCTCATGTGATTACAAACTGGTGACGGAGGTAAGATTTGAATAGCTGGAAACTCACTGCGGTAAAGAGTACCATGGCTAGAGAACTCAATGAAATTAGTCGGACAAGATTCGATAAAACAATTTCAAAATTGTTAAATCACTTAAATCCAAAAAAAACAAATTCTATACCACTACTACCTTATAACTAAACATTTAACCATATTATCTATATACATTTCAAATTATAAATTTATGTGCCTTTGAATTTTGAACCGTTTTTTACATTTGGTTTCGTTTACGTCACGCGTACGTGTGATTAGTCATTACTCATTAGTGACGTTACCCGGCGAAATTATGATAAATACTTTCAAATTTGTAAAAAATGCTATCAAAATATAATTTATTTAACAAAATATTTATTTAACAAAAGAAAAAAGACTTCTCCCTATTCTTCAAATTTGAACCATTGTTGTTGTAATTATTTTAATCAGAAAATTTTATTAATTTTTAAATAGTACTCCGTCGTCTCGTCAAGGAAAGCAACCAAAGAAATTATATATATAAAGATTGGAAAAACATACAACGAATTAATTGACGTTGGTTGATACATCAGATTTCTATGCTTATATATAAATGTATGAGGCCAGCTTTTATAATTTTGAAAATCAATTTTTTCGTAATAAAATTGTAATACAAAATTGCTGTCACCCAGTGGCACGAAATCAACATTACTGGGTGACAAAAAATCAACGCTGGGTAGCATTTTTGTCACCCAGTTACAATGTTACACGAGGCCCTAGATGTATTACATGATTACGCATCAAAGTAGAATAGTTTTCAAGAGTGCAGTTGTTCTTTAAGACCAATTGTGATGTAATAATTATTGTAGTATATCCTGAGTTTAATTTTATTACTATCATCGAATGGTATAACATTTCTTTTAAGATCTGTTTAAGGACCACTTCGTCAATTATATGCCGTTGACATATATTTTCTCTAATATAAGATTATGTCGTTGTCATTGTTGATTTTAATTATATTGCTACCTTGTAGTCCCGGGCATGACATAAAACTGCATCCACGCTGCCTTGCTTATAACTGGTGTTGTGACAGGATGGGTATGCCATCACAAAAAAAACAACGGCCCCTAGTCCCCAGCATGTCTTAAGTGGTCAAGGGGTGCTAAGAATCCCTGGGAAGTATGCAATAGCGGAGGGATGTTGCAGAAAAGTTCTGTGGCCCCTATATGGTACTTAGACTTAGAACGCTCATGGAAATCGCAGAAATGCTCGAGCGTAGAAGAATTGACATCTGCTGCCTTCAGGAGACCAAATGGTAATACCAAATCAAAAGGGGTCTGTTATATCAACTCAGACAAAGAAAAATATAAACTATTCTGGAATGATCAAAAGACGGCCAAAAATGGTGTTGGAATTTTAGTCAAAGAACCGCTAGCCCAAGAAGTACAGGATATTAAAAGTTTTAACTCACGTCTCATGTGGATCAAGCTTCGCCTAGAAAAGCAGACAATGACTATTTTTTCTGCATACGCACCACAGACAGGCAAATCAGAAGTAATGAAAAATGACTTCTGGGCTGCGTTCTCTAACACCATCTTAACAATACAATTTGGCTATGGAGAACGGAATGAAGATGGCAACCGCATCCTTGAGTTTGCTGAAAGCCACGGGTTTTGTTTACTGAACACATATTTTAGAAAAAGGTTGGAACATCTCATATACAAAAGTGGACCATCAGCCATGCAAATTGATTTCTTTGCTGTCAAGCAACAACACCGAAGGCTATTCAAAAACGTCAAAGTTTTACCTGGCGAATGGTTTGCAGTGGATATTGAAGAATTGAACCGATAAAATTTGTCTTCTGTTTTTGAGTGACAAAGAAGATTCAAATGGATTGGCATTGTCATTTAGGATGTGATAGTCTGGTGTCATACTGACAAATTAAAAACAATTGAAACAATGTTTTATTGATTTTTAATTTACAATATTTGCCTTTTTTTATTATTTAAATTAGTTTTCTAATTTTTGCTGGTCATATTTCTGTTTGTGCTGGGTATTATTAAAATAGTTGGATGGCGTGCTTGCTAGTTGGTTTCACGTTTACCGTATGGATTGTTTGATTGTCCCATGAGTCCTGGGCATGACATAAAACTGCATTCATGCTGCCTTGCGTGCTTTTGAGCAAAAGACTAGGCTCACCGCTTATAACTGGTGGTTGTCGTCAGGATGGGTGTCTGGATGTAAAAATTTTCCCCAAAATTATTTCATGCCATCACAAATAAAAACAACGGCTCCTAGTCCCCAGCAGGCCTTAAGTGGTCAAGGGGTGTTAAGAATCTCTGAGAAGTATGCAATAGCGGAGGGATGTTGCAGAAAAATTCAGAATGGCCCCTCTATGGTACTTAGACTTGGAACGCTCAGTTTTGGATCACTGACTGGCCGCAGCATGGAAATCGCAGAAATGCTCGAGCGTAGAAGGATTGACATCTGCTGCCTTCGGGAGACTCAATGGAAATCGAATGGTGTCTGTCATATCAACTCAGACAATGAAATATATAAAGTATTCTAGAATGGTCAAAAGACGGTCAAATATGGTGTTGGAATTTTTGCCAAAAAACCGCTAGCTCAAGAAGTACTAGATATTATAAAGATTAATTTACGTCTCATCAAGCTTCTTCTAGAAAAGCAAAAAATGACTGTTTTTTCTGCATACGCACCACAGACAGGCGAATCGATATCACGATAAAACGATATCATCAGCATATATTAGATTCCAAATGTCACCAGTGCGTATCGGTTTTGTGATTTCGTCCATCACAGTTATAAATAACAGTGGACTGAGAATCGAGCCTTGGAAATGGATACAACTGATCGTCTAATTTGGCGCAAAAAAAAAGTTGATGCAAAGAAAACAACGTCCTACCTCGGGAAACTAGGTCTCTGGACGCTAAATGAAGATTGATTGATTGATTGATTGATTGATTGATTGATTAGAATATTATTTGCTGGCCGAATTAGAAGTCTCTTGCCTGTTCGCTTTCATTGATCACAATTGCCTTTCTTTTCAAGTCAACTGCGCTACTTGTAATTTACCGAAAGTTACAATCAGTTTAATTCATCCCTAGATCGTTAATGTAATTGTTGGTAGTACAATTATAAGCTGGTGAGATGATGTTAAGATTATGTATAGCTATTACTGGTTCGGTCAGATACCTTTTTTACTCCTCCGGCTTGTTGTATAATTTTAATTGTGTTGTTCTCAATTGTCACTTGGAAGCGTTTTACTTCATTAGGTGCTGAACTATTGGCTGTTAATAATTCGGCTATGTTGCTCCAATTTTCTAATCAGTTCTTCAATAGGATTCGCAAAATCAAAATCATCAGGATCATTACCTACGTTTATCAGAGCATCTCAGGCAGTTTATAAAACTGCTTTCACCCATTTTGTGCCGATTTTTCGTTTCCACAGTTCCTTCCTCAAATTAGTTGTATTGTCTTCTTCTAATGCTAATATTTGTCAAAATAATAAGACTCGTATTTTTTTAGTTTAATTAACTAAAAAGTAATTTTTTTACTTAAGCATTGAATTCATAGCCTGGCAATCAAAGCCAGAAAACGCTACAAAAATGAAAGTGTGGACCACTTACATGAAAATTTTTCATAATTAAAACTATTAAAATATAAATATGATGTCAGAAAATTTTAGGTAGGCAACTGATTGTGATTATGTTTTGTTGCCAAAAAATTAAAAAAATCGTGACTCAAATTTATAAATTTTTTAGCCAAGTCAAATCAAGTTGGTCAATAGCATGTTAAGCCAAGAAATGTTTTAAAAGTGAATTCGACTCTCAGGCAAATTTCCCATTTATTTACATTCGGTGCTCCACCAAAGTTATAGATTTTTTCAGTGTATACAGTGAGTACAACTAATTCATAAATGAAATTGCAAAATTTCAATTTATCCATTAATTTTCAAAAAAGTTTATAAACATTATTCAAAATACTTTTTTGTTGTCATCTTTATCGGTATCAACAGAAGAAGATATATCATTCCAAATGTTTTTTAAATCCGTCACCGATGATTTATTATTTACAGCTCCAATGGTTTCGTTAATGTTTGCACCTAGTTACAAGAACCAATATAAAATTAATTAAATAACTGCTTACAGCATCATTCAAAATCTCACATAAATGCACACACACACAAATAAATAAAAGGGGTATATAAATAAAAATCGGAGGATTTCATGGAGGGAGAGTTGGAGAAGTTGAAATACTGTTTCAAAACGATAATTATTGGTGAATGCAACGTCTAGCGAATTGATATGATTAAGGATTTATTTAAATTTATATATATATATATAACAAATTTGTATATATATTAAAAATAGATTTGTATATGTATATTTGTATATGTATCATCATCGATAAACCGATCGGGACTGTGCACGTTGAAGGATGCATGACGTCGTCTTCGCTTACGATGGTTTGGTCATGTGAAGCGAAGCGAAAACGATACAATAATTTCCGTTACTGGTGTCTGGCACCCACCCAAGAGGTCGCCCAAAGAAGTCCTGAACGCAGACCTTACAGGAGGACTTGAAGGCACTTGGTCTCAAGGAGACAGACGCAATGGATAGATCGGCTTGGAGACAGAAGATGATGAATGGAATAAAAAAGACCGACCAACAACGGATGGAGACTATAAACGAGGATTGATTGATTGATTGATATAGATATATTGATGAAATTTACAGCATGTTCCTAGTAGTTAGGTTCCTGTTTAATTTTTCGCTTTTTCTAGCAGTTGATCGTAATTCATTGTCCTTGACGAATAAAAAACCAAAATACATACTTCCATCAATATTCAACAACGAATCACTACTGCCCTTCTAACTCGAAGAATTAAAAGTAATAACATCAATCGGGTCACCAGCAATGACGATGATGGCAATAATAATAACAACAACAATAAAACAACAACAACAATAATGTCAATAGTAATAATAACAATTATAACAACAACAACAATGGGAACACATTTTATTTCTTTCTAAAAACAAGTATATATATATGTATATATATATATATATATATATATATATATACATACATACATGTATATATATGTCCTAGTCCTAACTCGAAGAATTAAAAGCAATAACATCAATCGGGTCACCAGCAATGACGATGATGGCAATAATAATAACAACAACAATAAAACAACAACAACAATAATGTCAATAGTAATAATAACAATTATAACAACAACAACAATGGGAACACATTTTATTTCTTTCTAAAAACAAGTATATATATATATATATATATATATATATATATATATATATATACATATATATATATGTCCTAGTCCTAACTCGAAGAATTAAAAGCAATAACATCAATCGGGTCACCAGCAATGACGATGATGGCAATAATAATAACAACAACAATAAAACAACAACAACAATAATGTCAATAGTAATAATAACAATTATAACAACAACAACAATGGGAACACATTTTATTTCTTTCTAAAAACAAGTATATATATATATATATATATATATATATATATATATATATATATATATATGTATATATATATACATATATATATATATATATATATATATATCATTTTATTTAGCAAAAACTAGGAGATCAAATAAGCGAGCTTATGCAGATCACCTTAAACTAAAATTGCTCAAATTAAGTCAAACAGAATAAAAAAAATACCTAAAATAAATATATATATAAATATATCTATATATATGCTTGAAAAAAAGGTAAAAAAAGACGGTGAAACTAAAAATCATCTAGAAACTTTCCACAACATAACTAGAAACTAGATAACTAGAAACCTTCTAGATAACAACATGAAAATTTTATACAACAATCAACAACATTACAACCTAAGAATCTCAGAAGCCATTTTAATCGAATTCAAAAAACTTTCCATCGATATTCAACAACGAATTACAACTGCACTTCCAACTCGAAAAATTAACAATAGTAACGTCAATCGGGTTCACCAGCAAGCAATCCAGCAATGACGATAACGATAACAACAACAACAATAAAACAACAACAACAATAATAATAATATAAATAGTAATAAAACAATTATAATAACAACAACAATGGGAACACATTTTATTTCTTTCCAAAAACACGCATAAATAAAATATAATTATAATGTTCAAAGATAAACACCTTGCTCCTTGTAAATGAAAGTGCAAGGTGTCGGAAAGCAACAAACCGAATCATATGTTATTTCGTTAACAGAATATACCATACGAGAAAGAAATTACAGTTAGAATTATAGAAGAATCTGTTACAAATTGTTGACAAATTGTTTATTAAAAATGCCTTTTGGAGATATTTAGAATGTTTACAATGATTATCATTTTCTTTCACGGTTTATCCATGTATTTGTTGATTTTATACTGTTTTGAACTGGTGTTACAAACAGTAAACTCTAGGATTTTTTTTATCATTTTTTAACAGTATTCCAACTCGGATAATAACATAATATAATTATCCGGTTCATCCCGCAGCGCCAGTTCTGCTTGCCAAAAGTGGCCCACTTAGCACTCGCATTCGTTATGGTCCGGCTCTGATCAAGCCAGTCGGACTTACTACCCATTTAAAGTTTGAGAATAGGTTGAGGTCGTTTCGTCCCCAAGGCCTCTAATCATTCGCTTTATCGGATAAAAATGCAACAGCACGCAAGGCAGTAGTACAAATTTAGACGAATAAGTAAATAAATAAATAAAATAACGGAGAAAAAAAGATGTTTAAACATGAAAAGTAAAATAAAATAAATAATAATAATTAAATAAATAAATAAAAATAAAGTAAATTGACAATAAAATGAAGTAATGGCATAAAAAGACAAATAAATAGACTACATGATGACTTAGTGAGTTAACGAGGTGATCGATAAATAAAAACTAGTTGTGTTAATGATAAAGATTTATTGAGTGTGTATATGTTGAGGTGTCTTGTGATGAAGGTCTTTTCCAGATATGTAGACTAGGTGGCGAGTTGATAATTATGCTTGCGTTGACGAAGGTTGTGTGTTGTAGTTTTAATTGGTGGTAGTAGAGGATGGATGAATGGTTGTTATTTTCTACTTTCTTGAACAGTCTTGAATCGAGTGTGTTGAATAGGATAATGATGCAGTAGATAGTTGAAGCGGATTAGTTTTTTTTATGAGAGATTGTAGTTGCTGAAGTTGTTGTGTAGCAAAATCAGAGCAGGAGGGAGCTGCATATTTGATGTGTGAGATTAAGAGTGATTCAGTGATGTCGAATAATTTGATGCCTCTGAGACCATGTGGGAGGAGTGTTTTGAGTGCGTAAAATGTCTGAAAGCCTTTTGTGATGATATGAGGTGCTATATTAAGTGTGGAAGTGAATGTGATGCCTAATATTTTTAATTGACTTGTGCGAGTGATCGATGGGTGTTCTGGAGGTAATGTCGTTTTCTTACGGCTATTGTGAATGATGAGTTCGAATGATTTATTGAGGTTATTGACAGATTGCATCGTTT